GGTCTCGTCGTCGATAACGATCACTCCCAAGTTAAGAACGTCGAGTTGGCGGCCGGCGGCTACGAGCTGCGGAAGCACATAGAGAACGTCCGAGAGGCGCATCGACATGCTCAGTGACGTCAAGTGGGGCGATCGCAAGACACCCGTGAACACAGCAGTGGCCCCATCGCGCGTCGGGCGCGGATCGCGGACTTGGAGCTTGACGAGATGCACGCACGTCGTTGCGAGCGTCTCCATCAGCAGCTCCATCGACGACGCGAGGTTGCAATTACAAAGCGTCAGAGACTTTAGCGCTGGGACCGCCGATAAGCCCACAACCAAAACTTTGGTATGATACGCGTTCAACCCAGAGACGATGAGCCGTTGCAGTTGCGACAGCATTGGCGCTGCGGCTGGGTGTGTTGCCAGCTGACCAAAGACGTTGCACGCAAGGTGCTTGAGCTCCGTGCGGCCGACGGCGGTTGCGAGGTCCGTCAGCGCTTGGTCGTCGTTGACGTGGCTCTTCCACTCCAAGGTGATCAACGACACGGGGAGCGTACGACCGTGGAAGCCACCAAGGCTGGGGACGTTAAAGACAACAAGCTCTCGCAGCGTCGTGTTGGCTTGCAGCGCAATCGCAGAACGCAATGACGCCATCGTGGTCCATGTCGGCGACGTTGGCCACTTGGAGAAATCGGCTCGGCGCCGTCGAGAGCCAAGCAGCCAAGAGATGACCAAGGCGCGGAGTGGCGGCCGCGTGCAAAAGGTTGATCTTGAATACTTCGACATGCGGGTGGGCGACGATACCGAGCGCATCGTTGAGCTCGACCAGGTCGTTCGCCCGGCGGCGGGGCTCGACCTTGATGGTCACATCGCGTAGACGCGGGCAGCGCTGCAAGAGAAGGTCGCTCATCGCTTTGCCTCGGCCGTGCGCCACACCCTTGCTGCTGAGTTCGAGAGTGACGCAGCTTAGCGCAGATCCGACGACCGCGACGAGCGAGGCCAGCGGCGCTGCGTCGCGGACATGGCACCCGAGGCTAATACGTGGATGCAGCGGTAGCGTCGCCGCAAGCCGCGCCAGCACGTCGGGTGACAAGTCCATGTCGTGCAGCGCAATGCTCGGCCAGTACGCTCGGACCGAGGATGGCATGGCCGTGCTCACATCCAGAAAGGCCGTGAGCGCCGGCGTCCAGTACGACCGTGGCACCGCGTGGAGGAAGCTCTCAAAATCGTCCAAGCTCGTAGCTATGGCCTCGACGACATGCGGGAGAGCGAGGGCGGCTGGCGGCCTTCAGCGTGCGCTCGGTCTCGGCCATCTTGGGTTGCAGCTGCTTGGGTTGTGAGCTTCTAAATTTTGTATCCGGATACGCGATCGGATTGGCAGAAAGTTCGTACTCAACAGCCAATCCAACGCAAGCAAACGCGATCTTGCGGCCGACTCTGCAAAAGCAG